ATGAGGAAATCTATATAAATACTGTCACATGCGTAAAGCAGGTTGTAGCATTCTAGTTCTGCAATTAGTCCATGCACACATAGCAGCAAAGGCTGCTGGAAATACTCTCCACATACGAAAATATGCTAAACTGGCATTTTTCAAGTGAGAACGACTTTATTTGGATCATCTCCCAGGATATGTTCATGCTGGTATCCCCCTGAAAGCAGGGTTGCCATCTTTGTTTCAGAGCATACCATTGCTCCCAGCACACAAATATTGGATATTTTCTATCTGCATGAGGCTCCCACCAAGATGCAGTCAGGCTGCTTCTAATCCTTGGAACACTGGCTGAAGTAAGAGAAAGAGGTATTGTGACTCTCAGTGGGAAAATTTGGGGGCATTATCTACAGAACACTTGCAGTTGTTCTTTTTTTCTCTCTACGTTTTTTCCTCTACCAGATTTTATGGAAGCTCATCAATAAAATGCCTTTCCAAGAAGGCCAAATCCCCATAGATCCCAAAGACAGCCTTAGGCTATGTGTATCTACTTTCCCTGATCTTTAAGCTGTCTAGACACAAGAAAGCCTCACCTGGGGACCATGCAGCTGTGCTCGGGTAATGCAGTGGCCGAGCTAATAAGTGCTGGGGGGATCAGGATGGGTTAACTTGAGCACCGGGCAGTGCTTTGAGATGCCAGCCAGCTTTTAGGCTAAGAAGAAGGGCCAAATACAAAATACAGATCCGGTGCCAGCCACAACTGCATCCAGCAAAGGCTGACTGTGCATGCTGTTTTGCAGCTGCACTCAATATGTATTTACAAGTCTTGTTGATTTTACAAAGAGAGGACATACATCATAAGGCTAAGAAGCACGCCAAAGTCCTGACACTGAGTTTGCACCCACAGGGGCAAGAGTCATTAACCGAAGTCTCTGTGTCGTGCAGGCTCACATGTGCAAGCCAGCCGCAGCCCAGACGGGGACGGCAGCATCCATGGCTCTGCCAGTGATGGGTGCAAGTCGTCGTGTTGGCCAGTGCTAAAGCATTTTCAGTACCCTCCAGCAAACGGGTGCTTTTGCACACGTGTGTAAACACATACCTACACACACCCAAGCATACCCACCAAACCAGTGAGGAATGCAGCCGCTACGCAGCATTTTCTTGGCAGGGCTCTGCACAGTGTGTCAGCCAAGAAAAATTTCACATTTACAGGAAAACCCACTGCTGTTCTCACCCTGTTACACAGCAAATAAAATTGTTTCACAACAAATGTTGACTTAGTGCTCTCAGAGGAATTTCACAGACAAAACAACTGTGTATTCACAGATGCTAACTGTGGATTTCACTTATGTACTTATTCAGAAATTATTCCCTAGCAAACTATACCAAGGATATGAGATGATTATCATAAAACATCTGATACCATCATGTATTGTTGTACTATGCTGTTTTAACTTAAGAGAGCTTGAAGGAATATATAGAGTATTGCTCGAGGTGTTGGCCATTAGAAAAGAAACTAAGAAACCTTAGTTTCTTAAAATTTCCAGCCCAGTTTAGAGATCCCAGATGCGAAACACTGCTGTCAAGTTTCCTTTATTCTTCAAACACTGGAACATTTATCTGGCCCTGCACACTGACCCTTTGGACTGTTGTCTGTCCCTAGTGCATGCTAAAGAGTTTCAAAACAGATATGGGCATGTGAATAAAGTAAATCAAGTATAGGAATTCCTGGGAAAGAGCAAATAACCAGTGCTTACAACAGTAAATAAAACTGGACAGGCCTCATTTTAAGTCCCAGAGGCAAAGAGGTATTGGTCGGTTTCACATCTAGCTAGCCCCCTGACACAAAAACAGTTGTCCTGCTGGGAACAGTCCTTGACCCACATGAGTGTCAGAATTGGGCCCAAATGCTCATTGGGGGAGGACTAGCTAGCACAGACAAAAACATTAAATAATTCAACAGGAAGGATAACCATGTGCCCTTTCCTGAAGCACACTGCCTGGTCGTCTTTCATTTAAGCAGATCAGACGCAACCAGGCTGCTGGGCAGAGGACAGAAATGGCTGCAGTGTTACAGATACCCCACTCTGCTGCTTCTGGAAACAGGGCTGAAAACGCTCCACTCGCAAAATATCCTGAACTTACACGAGCAGTGAAATTTTAAGTGCAACTGGTTTATAAAGTAACAGTTCTGAAATACTTCTAAAGTGCTACTTATTTGCTAGATCATTTTTATTTCTTGGATGATCACTGTTAATAACAGTCGTTCCCAAAATGGTTTCATAAGAGAAGTACTTACTTGCCAGACTCATCTCTGCCTTTCAAACCTCTGCAAATGAAATCATCAAGTCACTACATGCAATACAAAGCTTTGTAACCAGCAGTCACAGAACTTCTGTGAATCCAAGGACTGACCATCAAATTTAGCTCTGAAAATGTGAGACCTAAATCAAGGCATTTGAAAGACATACCTAATGCATTTCCCAGTGGTAGCAGGTGTCATACCTTCAAGGCTATTTCCTTCCAATCCTCACTGAAGGCTTTATCTTTCCAATAGCCCAATTGATGTCAATGTCACAATTACAAAGACCAGGACACAGACAGAAGGCTTACTGGTCTTCTATAGATTTTCGTCTAAATGCTGGCAATGTGGCTTCATTCTCTAACTCTGACAAGGACACAGATGTCTCCAGAGCTGTCACTATCAAAAGAGAAAAACTTAAAAGGAATTGGAAAAAATCCTTAGTTCCCAAACTTGATAAAAAGGCCAGTTCACTTCTGCATCCTGAAATCTGAAGCAGCTTGTTGAATCTGGCAGGCTAACCAGTGTGTGTTATGCTTTTTTGTCCGCTCTCCTGTTGCAGTCCTTCAATACTTTAATTTTGCCTCAATATTTTCTCTGGTGCATGGGCTCTGGTGAACCAAGACCACCATTTTTATGTCATGCAATCTAGCACTACCTGAACATGGTCATGTTTGAAATCATGGCACTCTGGCTGTAAGCATGGTTCACTTTTAATGGGTTATTTTAGAACAGCAGTTTCAGGGTTTGTGGTTGTTTTTAGTTCATGAGGTAATAAGCTCAGGGAATGGAAACAACAAACTTCCCTAAATATTCTTACCCACAGTCTTCAGCTGTACTCATGCTGATGCGTTGGGATTCAACCTGCCTTGTCCAAAATTACAATTATCCCTTGGGCAGCAGGAGGTGGCTGACAGCAAATATTGCAGCTCCTGGAGGAGCATCGATGGGCTTCAAGGTAGTCAGGTCCTTTCTCAGACTTGCACCCCCTGGGGTAGCTGGCAGTACATTCAGTGACTCGTTTCTGGAGAGACACTGTGGCAATGGCACCCACACATCTGCTCATTATAACCTGCATCACCCTGATTACATGTGCATCATAAGCATTAATTGTGGAAATTAGGAAAAAAAAAAAGTCATCAAGTGTTTTCAACCAGTTATGGTTTATTCTGTTATAAGTTTCAATTGTCTCTAAGCTGAGATGACTTCCAGGAACAGATCTTCTGATTTCTGCTCTGCTGTTAATTGCAGCTCTCTCTCCAGACTGTTAATCTGAACCTATGGATCGGCTGCTTTGCAGTGCCATGTCAGAAAGCCTTCCTGAGGTACAAGTAAACAGCCAGTGAGCTGAGGAAACAGCAGATAATCAGCTTTATTTTCTCCCTGAGTGGTTTTTAACACACGGGTGACATTGACCAGGGCCTGAAGCCTCCGCGACAGCATTTGATAGGACCTACTATTTCATCAGAGGCCTGAAATTCCCTGTTGGGGCCCATTACCCACAATCACTCGTGTGTGATAGCTTTTGGAGTTGATTTGTCTGAAAAGCAAGATATTGCCATGGGAAAACTAAGGTTCTCCTATCAGCTGTGCTATTTACACTATGCTCACAGAAAGATCTAATAAAAGAGGAAGACTAGTTTTATTATTACAGCAGGACCTCAGCAGCAGAGCACAGTAGAGGGAGAAAGACTGGTTTTTATGCCTGATGAAGAAAACATCATTAAAAGTTTTCACTTGCATAAAGATACCTTTATGACTTCCAGCTAAATGTGCACTCCTTTACCTTTCTGACAGGGTGCTGTAGGGGCTGGGGGCTCCATGGCCCCCCAGGCAGCCAGCAGAACCAGGCAGCCCAGGTCTGTCTCACCCTGCAGCCGAGGATGCCCAGCTCTGGTCACCCCTCTGGGGATGGGGACAAACCAAGACCAGGCTGAGACATTGGCCCATGGGCAGGGGTCTCAATCAACAATGTCCATGACCAGGCAGGGCAGCATCTGATGGTGCTGGAGGGCCAAAATGGGTCCTGAACCATGGGCAGGGTAGGGGAGGCGTGTGGGAAGATGGTCCGGGCTGTAAGTGTGCCTTGTGCCTTCAGACCCTAGCCCTTGAGATGTCTTGTGTGCTCTAGATAAACGGTCTAGTTACCCAAGGATGATCCTGGGTGAAAGATTGCTGCTGTGCAAGTTATGGGAGCAACAGCTTCCAGAAAGCTTATTTGTGTCAAGACCCCCAACTCTCCACTTAGGATATAACAGGGCTCTAGTCAGGGGGAGCGGGAAAAAGAAAAGCAAACAGGCTCCATCTGAAAAACAACATGTTAAAATCAAGTCCCTTCTGCTCTGGGCTTGGTTATTGCAGGTACCAGAAGAAGTGGGCCCCAGGCCCCATCGTGTAACCAGGAGGGCACAACGTATTGCAAGCATCCCATCCCTGCTGTGCTGGTGGCTGGCTGTGTCTCACACAGACACGCTGGTCCCTTCCACCTGGGCATGAATAACACTTTCTGGCTCACCCAGTGTGCAATGGGAAGGAGACACAGGCGCCTGCCGTGGCGCTCAGCACCATTTTGGGAGCCAGTCTCTGACCTCGGGCTATCACAGCGCCAAGCCACACAACAGCTTTGGTCCTTTGTGGATGGAGCCAGTTATTCCTGAAAAGCGACAATATAAATGGCACTGATCTAGAAGACAAACAAGCCGGTGCTGGAAATTGAATCTTAAGAGTATATACATAGTCGTATATTTTAAATATATATATACACACAAAATTTTAAAAAAAGAAATTATAGGATTAGCTTCATGCAATTTTAGACACCTATAGCATAAATATTTGTGGCTGGCCTGGTCACCCCCCTGCTCCCTTCACTGTCAACAGAGGAAGACAGGCACCTTTAGGGCATGACTCATCTGGCCTGTTTTTAGATGTCAACCTACGAAGACAGAAATCCTGTCCTCCAAGGGACAGTTTCTCTCCTCCACTGACTAAAAGGACAGCCAAAGATGATTAGCTTGGATGCGGACTCACACCTTAAAGGGCAGCTCACTCCCAGTAACCAAGGAAGGAAGATCATCTTACCCAAACCCCTCTGTGTCAGAAATCTTCACACCTACCCATGAACAAACACACAGAGCCTTGGGAGCCAGTTGAAAGACTCCTTATAGTAAAATTGACACCTTTGAGCAGAGGGTTTATTAAAGCTAGTTAAGTTTTAACTTTTAAACAATATTATTTTTACCATTGTTATCCCATAACATTCCAGCAGCAGAGCTGAGTCAGTTTTGCTACAGATAAAGCTGAAGCCTCTGTTTTCTGAAGCAACTAGCCAAAACCTAATGGTCAGGTATCTCTGGGTGAGGAGAAACATGATGGATCTCTTCCTCTAAATACATACACTGAATATGTTTAGCTGGAGCTATCATCAATGCTGCAAATTATGCTGCTCCTGGAGGTACATCCCTGCACACCCCAGAGCATGTTGGACAGCATGTTGGCCCGGGATCGCCTCTGGTTTACCACTCACTGGGAAGGTAACACTAGCAAAAGCTCTAGTTCCCATCTTCTGCTGTGCTCACTGCATCTAGCAACTTTGCATTTAATAGCCCCAGTCATATTTTTCACCAAATTCTTAAGAGATATTTACCTCTCACACTACAGCTGAAATAAAGACATCAGGACTCAAATATTTAATGCAAGATGTTTTCTCTCCTCATGTAAGAGGAAACATTAGTTGCTTTAACTAAGCAGTGGCCCATTGAAAAAGCTTGCTGGTTGCTAGTTAAACCTATGGAGCTGTTTTATATTTAAACCCTTGAAGCAAACTTCGGATTACCCCTTTCTGAGGTTGTATAAGGATAAACATTATAACAAACACTATATATATATTTAGTTCTTTTTTATATTTGGTCACATTTTGCATTCTATGTTACAATTGCAGTAACTATTTATACAGAAGCCCGCAACAGCAGCTGCTAATTGTACGACCATTGATTTGTGCCTCAGCTGTCTCACTGTGGTAAGTGTATTCTACACACACTTCACATACTCTTGTGCTAGAGAAAAATTAAATGTGCTGGGATGTTGTATGGAACTTTGCATCAGTGGAAAGGCTCATTATATTCATTTTGGATAATGCCTCCTCTCTGACGTTAAGAACAAATAGATGGGATTTTTCTGTGCAGTAGAGAAGCTGCATTACCGAGAAAGCTGTCCTTCGAGAATCAGTCAGATCTCTGTGACCCTGGTTACCCTGACAGATTCAGTACAGGTTTGCTTCATCTTCCCAAATTATAATTTATGACCCAAGGCAATGATCCATCAAGCCAGATAACATTACTTGGAGCTTACAATGGGCAAAGGAGAGACAGCATTTCCTGCCACCAGTGAACAAGAAAACTCTATCATTACCTAATATAAGTCCTCACACTAGGAGAGGAGAGGTTATCCAAGAAAAAGATAGGTGTTGCAGGAAACATTTGAAGAGCTGCAGTTTTTGATGTGACGGTTGGGGACACCTGTGACAGAGCATAGCAATAAACCCAAAGTCCTTGCGAGTGCAGTCTTAACCCTACTGAAGTCAACAGCAAAACTCCTACTAATTTCACCCAGATGAAGATTTCCTCTGGATTCAGTTTATGGCCGAATCATCGTCTTATTAGTGAGTGGCAGGTGATGTCTCCACTCTGTGCCATAATGCTCAACTGAAACAGAAACTACGAGAGTTATCCGCAACAGGAAGAGAGAACAATATAAATCTTAATGCAAACACTTGCATAGCACACAACCACCCTGAGACCGGCGGTGCTGGAGAAATGGGGATGGGCAGGGAGTTCTTGTCTGCTTTGTGTTTACCAGGAAATAACTTCATCTGGCAATTTTTCATGGTGAGAAGTGTCAGGAAAAAAAATTCCTCCTATCAGAAACATTACTAGACAGTCACAGTGGAATCAGAGCCCTGTAATGAAAAGCTAGTATTAAGGTTAGAGGGTCAGGAACAAGAAATCTTCATTGCATGTTGAGGGTGCAGAAGGCATACATAGACATTCTGAGTAATTATTCCCCCACAGAATGCAACCAGCAACATGAAATAAGGGCCCTAAAAACAAGCTGGGGACCATCAAATTTGCAGCCCTCCCCCAGACCATCACCAGGATATTAGCACTTATCTTCAGCTGGAGGAAAGAGCTACAGAACTACAAAGGCAAACCTACCTCAGTTTTTTAATAGTAATTTTTACCACATATTTAAAACAAGGAAACATAGTGCTTTATTGTATTCAGCAGCAGGATTAATTGCCTTGTTTCCTTGAGCTCCATCCGGTTGAGAATAGCTGCTGATTTTAGGTGCTTTGCAACATCCCAAATAGAGGGGTCTGATACCTCCTTAGAGGAAAACTAACAATTTCACATCCAGCCCAGTCCCAGCTCCCAAATGACTCTGCCCAGATCCTGACAAGGTATGATGCTTATACACAGGGCAGGTTATTAATCAACGGACACTTGTGCTTTATTTCCAGATTTTCATTGTTCTGCTGACTGCTGGTGAAAGAAAGTGACTTTCAGCTTTCATCTTCCAGGAGAGCAGGTTTCTAATCCTCAGTTTTACATAATTCTGAGTGTTGGAGGGGAAATTCTGATTGTAACTGCTCAGCAGTGGTAATTTGTGACTGAGGAATGACCTGGCACAGAGGGCAAGAAGGACAAACTACAAGAAGGGATTAAACTGGCTGGAAGTAGAAATATCAGAGAAGGAACAAATCTTTGCAAGGGAGTGAAGTTTCCCTTGGTGATGAGATAAGAAACAGCCTCAGCCTTATCTTGTCGCCCTCCTGGAATGGAAGCCCTCAGGGGCCACCTTTGTGCAGCAGAGCTGGGCTGGGGGATGGACCCACGGCTGGGCTGAGGTGCTCCATGCAACTGCTCTTGGGTAGTACACTTGCACTGCTGCACTGCTGGTGCAAATGTATTTAAGGAATCTGTTTGTGATGTATTTTTGTAGATTCCATGTAAAACCACATAGTATTGCAGTAAGATTCTGCCCAATGCATTGTTCATTAAAGATTGGGTTTTTTTAATATTTAAGCACAAACATGTTTAATCCACCTCCATGATTACCATAAAAATATCTCAACAGTGTCTAAGGCTTAAAACCAGCAAGCTAACCCAGAATGTTTCATCTCTTCAGTTACTCTGATTTAAAATCTCATGGTTTTGAGGGTTTCATTCAATCATTGCATATTTGAGGTTTTCAGTATTCTCTATTTCTTCCTGAATTTATACCATGGATACCCAGACAGGTAGCCTCCTTCATGACCCCATTAAGTGTCAGAGAGAATGTGCAATGATGATGAAGTCTGCCTGCCTGGATCATGCAGCCAGTACTCAGCCGGCGAGAAAAACACGGGGCACAGCATGCACAAGTGCAGGAACAGAGCAATAAATGTCTGAGGAAAGGAAAAGTCTCATCCAGTGGCAGGGGAGACCCAGGGCCATGCTCCCCTTTCTCCCTTCCCCTCCCCTTACCTCCCTCCCTCTGTACACCCACGGAGTTACCAGCTGTGAGAGCAATCCCTATACCCCGCAGCCCAGATCATTTTCAGATGAAAAAATACCCATTGCCACTCTTATCCCCAAAAATCTGTTAAGTGAGCTCTACTTTTTTTGTCAACCTTTGGTTTTGATCTACTTGTCCTTTCATAACCAGCCAAGATTTCCTCAGGGTGGCTCGGCCACGCACATTGGGATGATGGTGGTGGCTGCTGGGAGAGCTTATGGGTTACACCAGGCAGCTCCCCTGCTCCAGCACCTCCAGGCTGATGCCAGAACACTTCATGGCTGCCAGCATGCAATGGCTGACTGTCCTCTTCCTCCCTGTCAGCTCCAAACGGATGCAATGAAGACGTGTCTCTTCTTTGGGGCACTGATAAGGCATCAGGCAGGCGCACTGGGTCCGCGTGTCTGGGAATGAAGGTGTTGGAGTTTTAGCTGCAAATGTCATGACTGAAAACATATTTCATAGTTTGACAGCGTTTCAAAGTCCAACAAAGAATGAAGCTTGTGATACGTTAGTTACAAAAAGCCTGTAGTGCATACACTAGGCAGCAGGGTACTAGGAGTAGAGAAAAAAGCAGCTTTAAATATCAGGTTTTGCAGCAGTGGCCCATACAGAAGTAGAAAGGAAGTTATCTAACTATTTTTATCCACTGGCTTTCCCTGACCTTTCTTCTAAACAAAAAGATATTAAGTTGACTTTCTGTTCCCAATTATCCTTGCACACAATGTTGCTGTGAAATGGAGTCTTAAGGTCCATATTGTGTCAGCTCCTATTTCATTAAAGCTCCCTTTATGAATGCTAAGCTACCTGCTGCTGGCCTGTGGTAAAGCTCAGTCCTGCCGGTTATTTCATTACCCATTTCTGATCTAATCAGATTCTGACTCCTTGTATTCTTTCCCAGAAATTCCCTGGGCAGGAAACTAAGTTTCTCTGTTCCCTTTTTTAAAACATATGAAAAATGTGTTTTCTTCCATTTAGCTGCTTTCACACGGTATTGCAGTATCTTCTTCCTCTGTGTTGGTGTCAACTGCTTGTTCTGAGGAAAACCAGAGCTTTCATTCCCTAAATGTTTGTGCAGAGGAGGAAAGTCCAATTCAAACCCTTTGAGCACCACAATGGAAACTTGTTTTATTTAATGTATTTTTCTCCTCTCTCTCTCAGTTTTCCTCATTGAGTAAGACTCCTTTAGGATTTTGAGAGAAAAACATTGGGTACTGGCACAGGATCCAGCTTTAAGCCACTTTCACAGTGGGAGCAGATCTAGGCTTCTTAGGAACAAATAAGCCTAATGTTTTTTTTTTAAATTATAACCACTTCCCGGGGGCCTAAGGTGCCTAGAGGCTCCAACATAGTATATCCCTTGAGGGGTACACTTAGTCATGCCCTCTGCTCTCAGCCCCACAAAGAACATCTTCGTGGTAATTTTACAGTCACGTACTTCAAATCCTGTGCTGCAGAAATCTTGCATCTTCAAAACAGGGGTTAAGGATTGCTGCACACTGGTGCTCCCTTATTTATCATAAGTAGACAAGGTGTGATAAGAATCACATTTGTCTCTGGAAGCAAGTGAAGGAATGAGTGTGGCTGCCACTCAGCCTTTTTCCTGGCAAGAGGCTGATGTGCATGGAGCAAGCCAGCATCTCAGGCATTTACAGGAAAACCCACTCTCTTATCACCGTTGCACAGTAAATAGCCAAGTTGCACAACAGCGTTTATCAAATAATCCTCTTAGGGATTTCATCAGCTTAGTTATTTCATTAAAACTCTTGATAAACACAGTTTTCACATATGGATATTTGCAAATTTTACCATTAAAATCCCATTAAAGCCTGATGGCCCCAGTCTTGCTTTTTAAGTATTATCATGATTTAATTTCATAATTTAATTATATGCTATTGAGGGTGTGGCCCAAATTAACTCATGAAGTACAAACTAGTGGTTATAGTAGCCTCCCAGGGAATGGGCAATAACATTGTTGACTACAGTTCTGTAATTAAAGATTCAAAAGTTAATTCTCCTGAAAAAGTTCCCTTAATCTCCAAGTTCCTTTTGTGCCTTACTAATGGAAAGTGGCAATGCTACACCACTTGTGCCTAAGGAAACAGGCACATATCTAAGTGCTTTTTTTCATCTAAGTACTTGGTAGCAGGGACACAAGACTGATAACACTTTCTCATTCCTCTCATGGTAACTTGCTGGGGTGGACCACAATGCTCTTAAATCCCATGCTTGGAGCAGTGAAGGAGTCAGCACATTTTATTTTTAGGTGCAAAGGGCTGGATAAATCCCACAGTTCAGAAGTCATACCTGGACACTCCTCCCAGTCATAGCAGGTGTCATAGCCACAGGGCACTTTCTTCAAGCTATTTGTAGACAGCTTCGCCCTTTCAATAGCCCAGTCTAGGTTGGAATCACCATGGCAAGGGCCAGCATGCATGAAATGAAATGACTGTTCTCCGAGGCACATTTCAGCTGAATACTGACAGCTGGGCTTGGTCACGTTCTGTTCAGAAACAGCATGTAGCACACAGATGTCTTCTGAGTAGTGGCTGCCCCAAGGGAAAAAGAGAAATTATTTTAGCAGATTGCAGAGCAAGTCCATGCTTCTAAATGCTCCACCAGCATCAGATGAAACACAGCAAAGCCATGGCCATGTTGGACATCTGTCTAAAGACCTAAGGCTGTCCCAGCTACTGCAGAGCCTGAGCCTGATACAGCATAGTACTGCAAGATGAAGAAGCTTTGGTCCTGTCTGACAGATGGAAGGTAAAGGACATGACCCTACACAAGAAAACAAGAGGTGCTGTTACCTTCACAAGGCATGGGAAATTTCCATGGCCCTGGGGTGGCTTGTCTGAGTTAATGCAGCCCTGAAGCTGTGTGTGCAAGACTGTGTCTGAGGCACAGTTATTTTGGGACCGATAGCAGGCAAACCCAGCCATGCTGCTGGTAGTCTCCTTCTGTATTGCTCTTGGTTCCTGGGTGGGTTTATTCTCAACAAGTGCAGGCGTTTCCAAGCAGCACTGTTTTGTTGAGCTTAGCCGTGGCCCAAAGACAGGGAGCAATTCAGTTCACCTTGTTTACCCTCCTGAGCTAAGCTTATGGCTTTAATCAATAAAACCTCTCTAATTTTCAGAGGATTTGGCTTATAAGATTTTGACATGTCTATCACCCTCTGAACATGCTCTCTTTTTACCCAAGTACTCTTGAGAGAGAGAAGATACCTGGTTATTTGGTCACCGACATGAATGAGATGAATCCCATGCCAAGGGGCTTGCCTGTGGTCACACAGGAGCCCTGTGGTGGAATGCCCCACACCTCCACCCTGACCAGTCATGTACTAAAAGTCCTCTAGGGTAATCCTCTATCCACTCGAAGGCTCAATGGTCTGTGCAGGTCATGTTTTATAAAGAGTCAGTAAATCCTGGTCTTACATATTTTCATATGTTCTGGAGACTGAGACAAAACAATGTATTTTGCAGCATGTTCATTGAAAAAAGTGAATCTCAAACAAAAGGAGCATGACCTATTATAACAAGGTGATGACAGTGAAAATACAGAAATTGGAGGAATGAAGAGAAGGAAAGGAAGAGTTGGGATCTCTCATAACAGATGGTAATGTAGGTTAGAAAGATGCACCCTGGTATGCCATTTGGTTAATGTCATTGTTCATTTATTTCACATATAAATGGGACTATAATTTGGACACAGAGCTGGCTAATATCTGAATGGAGTAGTCCCAGATTGCTGTTGTCTTTTGTTACTTTTCCTGGTTTGTGTCACAGTGGAGAAATGGTCTATCAGTGGAGAAATTTTGATTTTTCTTTTTCTAATCGAAGTACTTAACTTACCCACAATCTTCTTCTGGAGACATACAAACACACTGAGATCCAACCTGCTTTTGTCCTGGATTGCAAATACCTCTAATTTCAGTTTGCACATCTGAAGCAAAAAGTAAGAGTTAGTTTAACTAGTTACCAAGTGAACAGAAATAACTTAGGCTCGTGCTGTAAAACATAAAATGGATTTATTTCCATTTATCTCTCTTAAAAAGCTGCTGTCGTTGGGATTCCACAAGTAGACAACAGTCTTTGCAAAAATAAACAGGAAAATCCTGTAGCTGAAGTTTCAATAAAATGCATTATGATACTTTACTTTCTTTCATAGAGCCTTGTTAATACATCTGGGATTTGGTTGAGCTTGTTTCTAAAAAACTGTCAGTTTCATAATTAAAGTGTACAGTACATTGCACCCAAAAATTCTGAATTTAATGCAGAAGTTTGGGACTGAAATTATATTGCACTGTGGTACGGACAAAGTAAAAACAAAATTAATGAACAGTCGTCATATGTATTAAAACCAGTCATCTGCCTCTTAGTTCTACCTAGATAAGATAAACTGTGCTGTTAATAGCAGCAGTATAGAAACAGTACAGTTCCTGCAGGCATACTAACCTTTTTCACATGTAATAGATCTCAAAACAGGAGGTATCCAGGACAGGTCTTTCCCACAGGTATACTGTGTTTGACCCGTGACTACAAACCCAGCTGGGCAGCTCAGCTTCATGGTTTCACCAATCTTGTACTGTTGCTTAAATGGGGAAATTGTGACACTGTCAGATGTTGGTGGCCTGAGGCATACCGAGGCTGCAATAAACAAGAAAAAATTATAATTCTTGTTGAGTTTGTGGTGCACAGATATTTACAGCAGGTCATAACGCTTCATCTGAAGAGACATAAAGACCTTCAATAACACTGAACATTTGACAGACATTCAAAACTCATAAATATTTAGCCTAATTAAATCTAGAAATTTTCAGTGCAGTCATAGTATTTAAAAATATTTTTCAATAAATAACTAAATAATTATAATGGTTTTCTAAAGTATGTTAGTATGAGTAATTGAATTTTACAGTTTAATAAGAATTGCATTAACAGCATATTTTAATTTTTCTTTTGCAAGTGAAGCTATCAGCAAAACAATTAAAATGAATAGCAATAGAAAGCTCCTATGTGTATTCAGGTAATTTTTTTGGATAAAACTAACAGTAAGTCAATGAAATCACACTGAGTTCTAGAAAACTACTGGAATCTCTCCTCTTAGCAAACCCAGGTCAGTTTGATAAGTCAGGTCTGATCCTTAATTGGACTATAAATACTTCAAGGCATTGATTCATTGTGGTGATTTTCAAAGCAGCGTGGGGTGGTGGTGGTCGTTAGGGACACATCATGCATTTAATATTAAAAAAGCTAGACAAATTCCTCTAAGAATACTTTCTTGAGCATAACTGTCATCAACTTAAAGATATCTATGTAAGCCTGGAAACAAAAAATGAGTCCTTCTGATAAAGATATTTAAAACCTGACAGAAGAAGGACCTCACAGCATCCACCTGAGGATTTTTCTAAAGCATTGAATATTAGGATGTCCTTACAAAGCACACAATAGTAACACTTTTGAATTGGAAGAGGAATGCTGTACTGACTCAGTAGGTTTTTGCCATCTCTACATGAAATATCTTCCCAAAATGCTATCTTCTCAGGTATCATTACAGATTCTTTTTTAAAAACCTGTTTTAAAATCTATTTTGTGTCTTTTTCTTCCACTTCTGTTTTGCTGTTGGGCTAAATTAGTTTTCTCTTTCTTACGTTGACATTCAACAGGTTGCCGCATCCAGGTTTGATCTGGCAGACACCGAAGGAACTGGTAGCCACTGAGGACATGACTACTCACACAGGCAATTTCAGCTTCTTCCCCTACAGCATACTGGCTCTTTTCATTCTAGAAAAAAGGAACCAAAAAGCCCCTCAAAAATCTACTCTAACGAGACTGGACATTGTTAAAAGAAACACTGATAAAAACCTGATGATATGATGTAATGAATGAGTTCTTTTCCTAATCTGAATACGAGTCATCCGCTCACCTGTTTGTCCAGCTGCACTGACTTACATTATGGTTACAAAAGAAGGATTCTAGGACTGCTGTTTGAAATGGATTATACCTTGTCTTTGCTTCAGTTTCTGGTGGACTTTGGTGGACTAGAGTCCCACAGCATGCCACACACACAGCAACACACTCACTAGCACAGTAGCTAGCTTGGGTGTCAGGCACACGTAGCAAAGAAGCTCTAAAATTTCCCAGCTCTGCGACTGCTATACTTCCCTTCTGTATCACCCATTTTCCATGCTCACCCTGATAAAGCCATTTTCTGGTGGGTCTGGTCTGGAGCATCCAGACTCAGGTTCACCAATCAAGACTTCCTCTTCTCTCCTGGCTTCATCATCATTTATACAAGGAGCACCTCTGAAAAGTAAATATTTGCTGGTAAGTATGTATCTCAAGTATTGTGTCACCAAATAACAATGGCATAATGTCAGGAGCTTTGGGAAGGAATGCTGTGAGTGTGTCCTGGCCTATCGCCCCTCCCCATCCCACCCCAAGTCCCCACAGTGAAAAAAAAATAATTCTGTTAAATAATATATGGTGGACATCAAAAAGTTGCAAGTGCTGATAGGACGGAGACTGTGAGAACACTTAAAAAGTCATGATACAGGGCTACAATTTCTATTGACATAACTCATGAAATATTTCTATAGATTAAGAAAAAGAGGCAAAGAACAGCATACAGATGAAAGGCTCTAAGGAGTCCACATGCTTTTGGGTTTAAGACAGTGTAGTCAAAACCTGCCCGTTGCCATCAGGCAATAGTTAAAGGAGGTGGGTCTCTCTGAGTATGGAGCTGCCACAGCCTGTGTTGCGTGAGATGAGTAACAAAGAACTGTGGAGCCCATTGCTTTTAATCTTCTCCTATCCGCTCCAGAATCTCCTCTGTAGTCATTACAGAAACAATGATGAAAATCCTGCTTCAGCTCTCAGTTCCATTAGAAAAACTGAATCTATACAAAGCCTCATTCTTGAAGATCCAAGAAACGGAGCCAGTTTGGGGCTGGGGATGATTCTAAGCTGAAACCATTCAAAACTGGTACATCAGACATACTCAAAGTGGAAATATGAAGAGCTTGGTAGTTCCAGTGGAATTCTCTCTCAGACTGAGTTCAGACCTAAACCTCTAAGAGAAGAGGATGTGTTATTGAAAAAATAGAAATTGGTAATTCCCATGAACGGAAGCAGATGAGTTCTCCATGGCTTTGGACAAGAAGTCATGAAAAGCACTGGAAGAGATCTACCAGCTTACTTTGGAATGTAATTCATCAGCCATTTTCTAGGAGTAAACAATGAGTAAATCCAAATTTGAAGCAAGTTGTGAAGATTTTCAGACATTTCCTTCTCTCAGCCCCACCATGGAGGATCAGATGGGAGAGCTGTCTACTATTTCTCCTTGGTAGTCCCACAGCCATTCTGGAGGGCTCCTTAACTTGCCCCATGACTATGAAGGTCTTTTGATTTACCATCTTCTTACCTGTCTGTGAACACAGAGACATAACAGGTCTCCTCTTCTTCCCGTTCACCCTCACAGGGCTTCCCTCCATTCATTGGGGAGGGGTTATTACACTCCCGGGTCCTTCTTGTTTTGAAGGAAGCATCACATGAACTCCATTCAGACCAGCAACTCCAGCGGCCATCTACAGCAACTGCAAGAATTAAAAGAAATCACATCTTTCTGTAAATCTGTACCGTACATAGTATTTCTCCTAAGGCCACAAAGAAGAAGGATAGGGGTAAATTTATAATAGCTGTTTTCAAAGGATTTAAAATTGTTACTGTTGAGTAGACTTCCTAGGGAATGTGAAGTTTTCCAAAGAGACGGTCAGCCAAATTCCAGCTGCTTCATGAAAACCTAAAATATACCTTCCTTTATAGTTTTGATTGCAACTAACATTCAAACACAGAAGCAGCTTATTTTCTGTTTCTATTGCACACACAGATGTTTGAGTTTTCATGGTGCTGACAACCTTTTTAGATAGCTCACTATTTAATGAGTTATTAAATAAATCTGAGCTCTAGCACCATGTCTAAATGCCAAGTCTACATCCCATGCCAGCTAAATTCTAACACTGCTGTCTTTGCTTAACCCCTGGGGCATTTTTTCTGTGCCACCATGAGGCATATATAAAAATATTTATTTACACACTTTTTCTTTTCTGCATGCAATACACTTCCTACATTCATCTCTATATATTCAATTGTTTATTTCTTTCAAAATATTTCTTTATCAGGGTCAGACAATGAGACCTGGAGCTGCCTAAGTGACTTTTCCTTCTGTCCCCTCTTGGTCCTGGAATATAAATATATGTCGTACTAAATCTAATACTGTAAGTCTCTTCTGTTTCCCATAGATATTACACTAGTGCCAATTTCATTCAAAAGCCTGTTTGCATGAAATCATTCTTTAAATTCTTCAGAATTATTATTGTGTTCCCTCTCCTTAAAACAATTTCTTAAGACAACTCCATAAAAATTTTCCTTCTACACTTTAATCAAGAATTTTTATCTCCATTACCCACTTAGTCAAGAATAATAAGCTATGGAAAAATTAAGGAATAGGTTTCTAAATTTTTGCATCAATTATCCTTGATCTCAACTTCCTCCTTATTGCAGAAGTGTTCATTTCCTAGTATCTTAATTATGTAGCTGAGGAATAATCTTTTACTATGTCTTACAATTTCTTTTGAGCTGTGTCTATTCAGTTTGATTTTTTAATTTTTATTCCTACCTTTATTCTTATATTTTCTGACCATCACCATGTGACAAGAAGCGCTACGGATTTGGTAAGGGAAGGTTATATCAGATTGGTCTTTGACAAATAGACACCGGAAGGAGGATTATGACAGTATCACCCCAAATACCTGATTTGTAACCTGGAGCTCGTATCTCACAGTTTTTGCCATAGGTGCCAGCCTGGCACAGGCAGAGGCACTCTGTCCCAGAAAGCACGGGCTTGCCGTTATTGGGGCAGGGGGCACACTGGCAGGGGTCAAACTTGGCCACGTATTCCCTCAGGGCTCTCCTTAGGTTGCGACGTTTGGTCACGGCACATGGCACGTTCCTCACCAAATCCATGATGGGCGACACCTGGTAGACAACCACTTGGTCAGTAGTTACCCAGACCCAGCAGCGTCCTGGAGGGGGGAGGGGGTAGTTAGAGGATTTCAAAGGCACTAATGCCTACGTATGAAGTTATATCTCACAGGAGTCAGGCATGTTGAAAGTTACGGATGCTTTAAAGGAGTATGACAGTGCTGTACATCTATATTATACTGTTTATATTTCTTTTGTTTCCTCAATTTAGGGCTCTCTGAGCCAGTGGAAAACCAACCAAGCGGGATACCATGTCTGAAAATTCAGGACACCAGAGATAACACAAGGTTTGCTTACAGGCAGTCCCTGCTGTGTGAGAGGTCCCTACACTGCCTTCAGGAGCTCAGTAGCTATGGTGGGAGGAGGATGGCTGCGTACTGCCTCCAGGCAGGCTTTCTGTTTGCCTCACTGTGCTTTGCTGCTGCTGCTGGCTGGCTGCTGTGCCAGCTGGGGAGCTGGGCAGCTCGGTGGCCTCACGGCAGCACCAGCACACTCCATTAAATGGGCAGGACAGACATGCCAGGGGACTGCTGCTTTGCTTCAGTTCAGCTGTGTGCCGTGCCTTGCATCACAGGCCTGGCAAGGGAAAGAAGACAGGGAAAAAGAGCTTTGCCAGCACCAGGCATTGCTTCCCTGCACAGTAACTAGCCCCTGCCCAGGCCTGACCTCCTGCTGGTGCCAGAGGAATTCACTCCTATTCCTCCCTCTTACTCTCGCTGTCCGTGGATGACACAAACCTGGTGTGGCTTATCAACAGCATGCACAAAAAGTATTTCTAATATAACTTTATGTCATGCCCATATGCATGTGCTTTCGTATCATACACAGCATCATCCCGACTTAAAAGACAAAACACCTGCAGAGCTCTCTGAAGAGCTGGTGAATGCTTTATCGTCTCAATATCTCTAACTGGTGAGTGCTTTATAATCTCAATGCCCTTCCTGCTCTTCTCTTACCTCAAAGTCAATCACCACAGGATTGTCCTTCGTTGACTCCAACCATTCTGTGAAAACTTCGTGTCCTGGAAAAGCCCCCTTTTTCTCCCAGGCCAGAGCTGCGGCATACTCTGCCCTGCCACCTTTTACCAGGGAGACTGACCGTTCGGATGACTCCAAAATGGAACCTGAAAGGGGATTTCATCACAGTGTTGTCAGACAAAGGCCTCCAAAGATGGTAGATGTAACAGAGTTCTAAGAGAAAGTGAAGAGGATATAAAATAATAAACTAAGATTGGTTTTCTGAAGCTAGCCAGGGAAGAATGAAGTCTAAGCTTAGAAAAACAATCCCTGCTATAGCAGCAGAGCCTGAACGTGTCTCCTCAGCCATGGAGATTTTCAGAATTACAGAAGACACTAGTGGAAAATGCAGGGGATACAGCAGGCTCCTCTAGAAGAACACATTACAAGGCAGGATCTTTAGTCCCATCTGTAAATGCCAGAGTAATACAAACTGATCATAAAATGAGGACAAAAACATGGTGGGGGTGATGAAACCCTTGGTTTTAGTGAGGCACAATGTAAGTCTTGCCATTCTTGCAGAAAATGCACCATCCTTTTGCAGTCCCTGATATATATTTCTGGTTTTGCCAGGTAACATTGCCAGGGGGTTGGTCTCTTCTCCCAAGTAACACGTGATAGGACAAGAGGAAATGGGCTCAAGTTGCACTGGGGTGGGGGGGGGTTAGATTGAATATTAGGAAAAAATTCTTCACTGTAGGGGTTATCAAACATTGGAACAGGCTGCCCAGGGAAGTGGTAGAATCACCAACCCTGAAGGTATTTAAAAGATGAGTAGATGTGGTGCTTAGGGACATGGTTTAGTGGTGGTTTTGGCAGTGTTAGGTTGATGGTTGGACTTGATGATCTTAAAGGTCTTCTCCAACCTAGCTGACTCTATGATTCTATGAACTCCTGCACACTTTTATGCTCCTTGGCACAAGGAAGATGGGAGGTAAAGGTCAGAGAATGTGTTATTGCTGACCAACTCTCTCAATGGGGCCTAAACAACCCCCAAGGAAAATCAAGACTTCGTCATGATCATACATTTGTAGCTGTGCCCGTTTCCTGGTTCAGCATGCCTGGTCTGGGATCCAGGAATGTTTGTCAGATCCGCGACTGACTGCTGCTGGAACACCAATGGTGGTGCTCCAGACCACAGGAAGAGCGCTCTTCTATCATAATTTCTTTTGCAAGTAAGAGGATGTTTCCAGTGCCTGTTTCAGAGTCAAGCAGTGAAACATTTACTCCTCTGACAACAGTGGAAGAGTATCTGTAGTTCAACAGAGCTGGAAGATCACCGGAGGCACCTAGCTAAGGGGAAGGGTGTCTCCCATGGTAAGTAGCAGGACATGGCCCCTGTTCTCATCATGATCACCTTCATGTTTCACGGTCATCCTGTTTGTGACGCATCTGTGACTGACTTTCTTTTTCTTACGGAAGAACACACGCTTTGTTGTTTCTGTTCGAACACACATCGTTGATTCATCCACCGACAGACCTAGAAATACCACAGAGCAGCAGCTTCATCACCATCACCCTGTTACATTGCCCCCAGGCTCCCACATCGAGGTGAGCCATCACAGGTCTCCCTGCTCCTCACCCACCACTGGAGACTTCACTACTGCAGGCACCTGTTTCCACAGGTACAAACAACTTGGGACTGAGTCATGCTTACCATGCCCTTTGGGTACCCTCCCGTACCCATGCAAGTTACAGCAGTGGCATTAAGGATCACAGCTTTTAACCTCAGATTTCCACTTTTGTGGTATTGTCTTGTCATTTTGACAGTCAGGCAGCCATGGGAATATTTTTAGAGTAATTTCTAATCAATACCAGCAACTTTAATGACGTAGCATTTGGAACTCTCAGACCTCAGTCCCACACTGAACTATGCTGGGACACCTTTTCCTGGTGTCGCCTAGTGTTGAACTGAAAGTCTTAAGGATTTCCCCAAACACAATGACATTTACCAAGTAAGAAACCTCTTGACCTTTTCAAATTAAGACAGTGTAGAGAAAAAAGAATACTATTGCACTATATTTAGGCAGTGTGAGTGATTCCTGGGTCTATGCAAGTAGAAAGGCCTTTTTGCTGTTGGACAGTTTATGAGGTGGTCTAAGACCTAAAAACAGTGATAAGAAAAGCTGGTAATCAAACAATGATATTTTCTTGTTAAAGATTACATACCTGAGTTCTTCAATTCCTCAGAGCTGTACTGGTAAAGAATGTCATAGGAGCCACCCATCTTCCCGGAGGTGTAATAATGAGTACCAAAGTCATCAAATATTCTGCTGTATGAAGCATAGTTGTACTCCAGTGGCAGGTGGTTAAGTGCTTTTAGAAAGACATCTGAGAGCTGCAGATCTGACTGTTTCATTGTGAAGTTTGCAACAGAAATGACTTTATGGACTCTAATAAAGTTGGAATTCTAGAAACAAGAAAAGGAGAGTCTTAGCATCTTCATGCACAGTTTACTGCAGAAAGTAGAAGAAAGTGTGTCCGGAGATACATTGCAATAACTAATTAATCCTGTGTGTCATTCTGTTTTAACCATGAATAAAATAGCCCTGGGGTTTTCAAGACCCCTGTGACGATCTTGAGGACAATGGTCATTTTTCATATTGTGCGTTCCAATAAAATTGGGACTTCCTGACCACCTACCAAACAGAAAACAAAAGGATTCTTGCCATAAAAAATACACCACCAATTGATAAGGCAACCAAAAGTTTCAGAGAAAAGACTTCAGGGACATTTACAGCTAACCTGGTGAGTGGAACAGAGAAAAGGGAGGAATAGAAAATACTGAAAGAAGGGATTTATAAAGTAAAAAAGGGAACTTATGGCACAAGGCTGAGGTAAAGAGTTCAAGCACAACAGGAGGGGCAGGAAACTGGAGCAAATGACCAACCAGCAGATAGAAAAGATCCACTATAAAACAATTTGTTACTGATTTATACATGGGTTCCTCTGCTGAATTTTCCTGCTCGTAGGTTGGCTCTACTACGCTTCTGTCTCCAAGTTCACTTGGCTTAGAAGACACAAGGATGTATCTAGACAGAGAGTTCTCCCAGCCAGGACTGAGAAGCGTAACACAGGAGTTGGACCTCAGTTCTGCACAGCGCGGCTCATCTCACTGCTGTCATTTGCACATTGGAAAATAAGCTAAGGATACTCAGTTTTCCACTGCAGTAACAATAAAATGGAAGAAATTGGGTATGTGACAATTCCCAGTTTATATTCAGCTCCTGAAATAACCTGTGGCAACATAACTTTTAGGATTTTTAGGTGGTTTAGGATCCTCAATTTTCAGCTGTGCCAACTAACATTTCAGTTATGCACACAAAATTGCAGGCCACTTTGGCAAATATTGATTCTAAAACCTTAGTTCGTTTTAGCACGCACTTGCATGGTAAATACAAATTTCTGTTTGAAATGCATCTTGCATTTGCATTTTCTGCTAGTAAAAGTATCTTAAGTGGCTTTATTACTAGCAATTTGCCTTACAGTTGTCAAACCCAGTGATTTCTATGTTAAATCCATTAGGCATGCACAGTGTTGAAAACTCTCACTTGAAGAACAATCACAGGAAATTGCATTCCAAAGTCTCCAGTCATTTCTGAGTACGTTTAACCATAGTGGGAAACCCTTGTGCTTGTAGCAAACTTAACCCATAAGTACCAGGTATTAATACAAAATATTAGTAGGCCATGGATGATTATTCCCCAAGACAGCCTGGTCAAAACAAGTGTGAGTACTCCAATTCAGTTTTGTTATACAACTTTGACAAAAAGCAGCCAAACAGGACCTGAGCTGGACTGATGTTGAAAACAGTAGTTTTAATTGGAAATTTTCTAATGAACCAGGGTTTCATCAGAACATGCTGATCAAGTAATCTTTCATCCCAAATTTCACAACTAGAGTTGCCACAGAGTCATGCCTGTCCTTGCCTGACATCCCAAGGGATGGAGATGGTTTCCTACCTTTGTGGTCTCAGTTTTTGAATTGTAGTGCAGGTAGTCCAACTCAATTAACTGCTGCCAGAAATACTAGGAACACAGGCTAAGGGAATGGTCAGAAATTCTGATACAAAGCTTTCAGAAGTCCTTTGACATCACAACATGGGAATTCAGTGACAAAAAAGTGAAAACAGTGTATAAAAATAACAACATGGAGCAGGATGGGCAAGATTAGTAAAGTAGTTCATAATGCAATGTGTTACATAACATTCCAGGCTCACTTCAAGAAACTTTCCATATATTTTAGTACAGAGCAGAGGCAGAGGAGGTCACCTGGGCTCATTCTGTACCCTACTAGGGCAATATTCAGTTAACAGATTTTTATGTAGAAACCTACCCAATTTCTCTTCATCAATAGAAAAGGAGGTTGAGTAGCTGAGATGCAGATCCCTGCGGACCATCATGCAGAATTTTATGGGAAAAAAGGTCCTCCATTCTCAGAAAATTTTCTGTGGACATGTTATTTCTGAGACTACCTTTACGACCAAGTGCATCTTGACAGCCATGAGACACCAATATGCAAGTTAGTTACCAAATCAAACACTAATGTAGATTGATTCCCCGTACATGCATATGTATAACATTACTGAGTGCACTTAATTTTACTTTTTAGAGTTGTCTGCTACTGTTACTACATGGCATTCTGACTTCTTAATTTATGACTGGGACAGGGAAAAGAGTGGTTTACCCAATCTGATAATCTCAAATTGATGTCAAATCTATGCTTTTTTAAGTGGAATAAGCCTGTGATTTCTGTACTTAAAACAGAAAAGCATGTTGCATTACAGAAGGTATGTAACAATCAGGAACATGTAGTAGTATCAGAAGAGGAAATTTTTAATGCATAATTCTGGAGACTTTTTTTTTCCCCCCAATGTAATGCTAATGCTTTAATAAGGAAAATAGTCTTTGATAGCTCAGGTCATAAATGAGCAGAGAAATCGAATGAAAGGAAGAAACTGAGGTAACATTCAATTACCTTCTCATATGAGGCTTCAATGGCTTTCTTGAAGGAAGAAGATGATGTGACTTGAACCCGTTGCTTTTTTGAGAAAAGAAATGGGATACCAGAAGAACTTCGACCACTAAATGTGGATGAACTACTTCTCTGAGCACTATCACTTAGGGGAGTTAAATCGTTGTAAAAGTCTGATGTTACATCATCCTCTTCATCTATTACCTGGAGATTGAGTAAAGCAAAATGCATTTGCCCAAATAATAATCTGAAATATAATCCTATTAAGCAATGAATTTTTAGTTTCTTCTTTTTTTTATGGAAGAAACATGCCTGATTATTTGAGATGTGGCAGTAAGCTAAAAACCTGTTCTTAATACAGAAGATGAGGCTGAGAAAGGTTAATACATGAGATGTATACAAGATAAGAAGTAGACTTACTAATAGGCATTTAATCAAGGCCGGGGGTGTGGGAGGTCTGGGGCAGGGAAACATGTAACACTTTCTTCTAAAATTCCACACCCTCGTTCCTCAAATCTTAGGAGTAATTTTCAATAAGTATTTCAACACATTTTTCAAAGACTCTCAGACTTCCATGCTATGTCCACACTATGACTAAGTCCCAGTCCCATGGCTGCTATATTGTACAAGGCAAAGAGACTGATGTTTTCTGTTCTTTCTTCTAAATTCCCAGATAGAGAAATGAATAGGTTTCCAGAGGAGACTTGCAGAGTATATTGCAGTTTTAGCACCCATACTGCGTGATGGGTAGGTAGAGAGGAACCAAAAGCAAACCTGCCTGATCAAGTTGGTAAATCTCAGTGGTGCTGTTGTGCAAATTACCAAGACAACTTCAGCATTCAGAAATTACTAATTTCCCAAAACTCAGGAAAATCCCTTTGGGTGTTTGAAAGACTAATTTTTCCTCTTTTCTAAACTGGTTTAATTAATAGGGCTGCTAGGGACCTTGGGAGGTGAAGTAGTCCAACCCACTTCCATTCTTCAAGAAGTCATATGTTTTTGCATTAAAACACACTGGAGTTCCAAGAAGAAAGCTTGTTCCAGTGACCCTTCTATACCAAGGGCTGCCCTAAATGTTAAAATCTACAGATGCACCCTCAAAGGTGAATCACAGAACCGCAGACCAGTTAGAGTTGGAAGGGACCTTAAAGATCATCGAGTTCCAACCCCCCTGCCATGGGCAGGGACACCTCCCACTAGACCAGCTTGCTCAAAGACCCATCCAGCCTGGCCTTGAACACCTCCAGGGATGGGGCATCCACAGCTTCTCTGGGCAACCTGTTCCAGTGCCTCACCACCCTCACAGTAAAGAATGTATTTCTAGTATTTAATCTAAATCTCCCCTCTTTCAATTTAAAACCATTATGGGGGAGACCTCATCACTCTCTACAACTACTTGAAAGGACACTGTAGAGAGGTTTGTGCTGGTCTCTTCTCACAGGTAATTAACAATAGAACGAGAGGGAATGGCTTCAAGCTCCAACAGGGTAGGTTTAGATTGAACATTAGGAAGGAATTTTTCACAGAAAGAGTGGTCGGGCATTGGAATAGGCTGCCCAGGGAGGTGGTTGAGTCACCGTCCCTGGAAGTGTTTAAGGGACGTTTAGATGCAGTGCTAAGGGACATGGTGTAGGGGAGGACTTTGTAGAGTAGGGTAGATGGTTGGACTCGATGATCCCAAGGGTCTCTTCCAACCTCGATGATTCTATGATTCTATGATTCTATGATTATCCCTTGTCCTATCAGTACATTCCCTGATAAAGAGCCCTTAACAGTTCTGCAAATGGATATCAGTAACTTAATAAACTTTATAGAGTTTATTAAGCTTTATAGAGATCTGGATTAACCAAGGCTTGGTTTTCCCCATTGAATATTTATGCATACAGTAATTTTTCACCATTATTGAAAAAACCTACTTGTCATGTCCAATCCAATTGCAGTTTCCATGGAACTTACTAGGGTATGTTGCTCCTGTTAAAGTAATACTAAAAACTCACAGTACTCGTGGCAAAAATCCGTAGTTCAGATTTCATCCAGTAGCTGAGCTTTTTTTCATGTCCTGCGTTCCTTCCTTCCCAATGCATTATCTATTTTGGCTTCAGGCAGGGCCTGCCAACACATGCACAGTCACATGTTGTGCCCTAACTGTGATATTCAAAATAGTTTCTAATTATCAGAACATAGAAGTCTAAGGTATCAGATCTAAAAAATAAATAATCAGCAATTTTTTATAAGATACAAGCCAGGTTGATTTTCTCCTTGGTCTGTCCTGCAAGACTCCTCCCCATACTGTGTACTTCTTGTCCTCCTGCCTCCCAGATTTGGTGTCCACCTCCCTTCCTGGCTGCTGTTCAGAGGGGCTGGTCAGGGAACCAGCAGGACAAAGGGCCTGAAATTGGTCAGGGAGGAACTGTGTCCCCAGGCTGCAGGTGACTAGAAGGAAGCTGGAGTTGGGACAGCCATTGGTACCACAAGGATACAGCAGTGATGCTGAAATGAGTTTTGGACTTGAAGAAGCCTCTGGCCAGATTATGTCAGGGTTAAGAGGAAGGACCTTGCTACCAAGTCAGAACAAAGATATGACCCCAGCCACGAAGAAGCAGGAGAGAAGCCCAAATCAATCATGTTGTCTCTGGTATGTAATGCAGTGAGTAAACACAGATCTGAAAGGCATGAGTAGAGTCACCCAATTGCTCAATTTATCCCATTTCCACACATCACCTGAAGCACGTTCGGGCCTCACCAGGTTGAGAAATCTTGTTCTAAGACACACATTACCACCTAGGAAACGAGTGCATAACTTGGATTGTGATTATGGCAACAGTTTTTCAGTGAGGAGTCGCTGTTTGAGAATACCTGAAAGCTGACAGCCTCCAGGTTGGCTGGAACGCGATACAACCTCCTTGTCTCATTGCGCTTCTCTGTTCTGCATTGTCCTCCATAGAATGAGTTGCCAAGGACTTCCCCTCGGCTCTCTCCTGCCAGAATGTGAAATCTAACAAGAAATCATTTCCAGAGATTAAACTTGACATAAAGACATAAAAACTTGAAATAATTAGTGTTACGTAGCTGCACTGAATATTTTGTAGTTTTGAATGAAATGGTATGAGCATCTCAGTTATGTTACTGCTTTGAAAGAAGTTCCTCTACAAGAACTTCTCATTCACACTGAATTCACCTGAATACTGCTGTAGTAGCAACCCTGTTTCTTACTTTCCAGCAGTGCCTAACCCTTTAGAAAATCCCAAGGTCAGCACAAGACTGTCACTCTAAAGCAGAGAAACACCTAAAAACGGCCTAGGAAAGCGAACAAACAGTTCTCTATTTCTACCATAAGTGATGTTACCAGAACACACTGAGTTCAAAATTCAATTAGAAAATGCAAGACTACCTGGGACAGGCAGCCTGTGTTTAGGTTTTACACCGCTTAAATTTGTAGCCTGGAAGAGGTGGTGGTTGATATTTTGTGACAATTGTTGTCATAGACAAATATCTGTAGTGGAACACCCTCAAAATTTCTGAAGCATTTGGGATAACTGAGCTGGAAGTTGCCCATACATGATGTTCTGGCTGCTGTGAGGTAGGAAGGGTCACCAGTGCTCCCTGACTGCTCTTTACCTAGTGCACCAGCAGCCCAGAGCAGGGCTGGCAGATGCAGTGGGCCAGTCCCAGCCTGATGGTTTGGTTGCATTTTTATAATTACTTGTGAATTTTAATCTGAGAGATTATGTGTTTTAATGGGATAATATCCAATTAACATCTTTATGTCAATTAGTGAGGTAACAATCTCAAGTTTATGAAAAATAAGCAAAGCAGTCTTACCCGTGGCCCATTAACTGCACACCTGGGATGCTATCATACTTCCTGTTACATGGGGTCTTTTTCCTCCCACAATTTCTTTCATCAGAGTTATCCCCACAGTCGTTTTCTCCATTACATTCCAATTTTTTTGCAATACAGCGACCTGCACCAGAGAAACAGCAGCAGCAAGAGACTTTATGCAGAGATTGATCATGTCTGAATGTAGAAAAGGGCAGTCTATCTTTTTCCCTAGCAAAGGTATAAACTTGATGTAGAAATTAAAAAGGCAGTATGCATAATGCCTAGAAATAAAAATTTCGGTTCTGCCAGTATTACCTTGCTTTGAAGCTGCAAAAGCTTAATTTAAGGTTTTGCAAAAGGATATGTGGATAAAGTTATTTTGAGGCTGATCAGGTATATTTAAATTGAAGCAAACAAGAAATGCCCACATATTTCATAAAAAATAGTACAAGTTTATGTTCAGACAAACTCTATGAATGCGTTTGTACATGAAAAATTTGTGCAAAGAAATATTGGAACAGTGCTACTGTCTAGCTGTCACGGTCATACTGACATCTCAGGCTAGAGATTGCACTTGAATTACTTGTAGTTACAGAAGAAGCTACCAAGATAAGGTGCTTCTAATATGCATGAAATTCTTAAGTAAACTTTTCTCCCTGCTCCTTTTCCCTGGAATACACAGGATCTGGATCATCTGGACCTTTTTTGTCTCAGTGTCTAATCTTTTGACTGTCTAATAATTCAGCAGTTATGCAATGAAGGTTGTCATTACCACTTTCACACTGAAATTTATTCTTGCAATCAACCTCCACTATGTTGCAGAACTTAGTTGGGAAGCATGGGCGGGAATCCACCAGCGGCTCGGTACAGGCCTGACCCCCAAACTGGGCTGGTCGCAGCAGCGTCCGGACATGAAACTGAAAGGCAGAAGAAATAAAACCAGGGTTGTTTGTATGAGCTGTTTTTGTAGGTAAGTGCCCACCCCCAGGCAGAGAAACATGCCTCAGTGCTGCTGAAGCTTTATCAAAACCAGAGCCCTTGAATAATCAGTTATTTTTGTCCTTACATCCTACCATGCCATTACCACAGATAAGGCAGGCAAGGAACTGAAATCCAAGAGTCTCAGTAGCCTTGATGGAATATACATGATTAAACACTTAACCTGGGGTACATCACTGGAGGAATCAAAAGTTGTCCCTGTACCTTCAGTTTTAAAGGTACGGTAGGAAATGGTGTGCAAACAGGCTTACAAAATTTTTTCTCACTCTTCATCATCTCTGTTGAAATAGAAATATTCTGATAGTGGTACATATGCCATCCCCAAACCAGCTGGCTTGGCTCCTGCACATGGGACCTCTTGTCTGAGGAACTGGGTGACTGGTGAGGACAAAAATGATTTTCCTGAATGTTTCCAAAAGTTTCCTAAAAGAAGATCTGGGAGCAAAATCTGGAACTCACTGGGTTTTCTTTCCCCAAGTCAGTACCCTCCATGCAGAATAACAAAGCTGCAGGCTGCTAGACAAATCACTACAGATAAGTTTTCCCCTCTACTCCAAGAGACTGCTGGTGAGACCTGTCTGTGTGTGACTGAACAGTTCCTCCTCCAAGAGTTTTTCTCCACTGAAAAGCACAGTTACTTGCAGACTTCTGTTACTTCCCCCCGCGCAGCCAGAGTCAAACAGTGTGGGAAGACATCTAGTAAAAATCAGTCATGGAATGGCTACGAAGGGAGAGTGCGAGGAGCAGCAACACACGACCTGACAGCTTTTGAGCTCAAGATAACCCTTTCTTGTGCTCCACTTGGGATTCATAACATTCATTATATTATTTGCGTGAGCTTCCACCTCTTCACCCCTCCCCCTCACTGGGACCCTGCTTACACTAGTCTTCACGCTTACATTGGAAGTCACATCCTCCCTTCTGATGGCTGTTTATATTTATAAAGGTCACAAGCAGTAATCTTTATAGCTTGGAGGGAAAAATGGATCACAGTCCACAAAAACACCTTTTTGCTTGAAGCAACAAATGTGTTGTATCAATATTTAAAGTTAATAAGAATGAATAATGCTTCTATATATGGGTGTGCAGGTAAGAAACTCAGACATTTAAGAGGATATTGATTGCAAAAAAAACCAAACCAACAAACCACTTCAGCTGGGAGCTATGCCTCTTTTCAGCTCTTCCAGTTTGTTTGCTGTTTCCCACTCTCTCTCTGCACTGCTCTTATACTCTCCATCCCAGTTTCAGGATGGGAATACCCCAGGATGGTTCTTGTCTTGCACCTAGAACAGCTTCTTCATGTCTTCTTCATCCTGCATGGGTATCAGAAAGCTGTATATGTATGTGAAGACATACCAATGATATCTGACAGGTTTTTCAAGGTTGTGTTTCAGGCATGGATTTCTGAAACCAAGCGGGACATTCAGAGAGCTGTAGACAGTGCCTGCACAGGCACTCAGAGCTACTGTCATGGTCAGCCTTAAAGCTCAGACTCACCAGGCATGTAACTACCCCAAAAAATCTGGAGTCCGCTCCCCTCTGCTTCCTACAACCTTACACTTGCCAGGGGCTTGGTTTCTTTAGATCAAATCCACTTAAACCTGACTTTTCACCTCTTCCCTCTCTGCCATCTCACCTCTAAACCTACCATCAGTCAACAGACACAAGCTCAAGAGGAAAAAACACCATCCTGGGGCTTTGTTCCACAGATACTGACCACACCCACCTCATTTTTGTGCAGGCTATAAAGGTTGGGGATTTCTTAACAGCAATCTCAAACCGACCCTGACTATCACTGCAAGATGTAGACCGAGCATTTGTAGCCAGTGCTGGTTAGGATTTGCCAGTTAACTCTTTCTGCCTGATTATTTGATCTAATTTTGCATATAAAATGTTATGGTGAAGCTAAAGATTCCATGACTTTCTCTTGATTAAACAGATATGCAAATTCTAGAGCTTAATTTAGCCTTTATGTGGAAAATTCATATCTAATTCTGACAATGGAACTTTTGAAGCAAGCTCTCATAAATGGATTTATGCTACTAAATCACTCCTTTCTATTGTGATCTGCTCATTTTAACTTGTTCTCTCCATCTTCTACTCTTTTAATTCATAACCAATTTACCTTGTTAAGTTAAGCCATCATTTTGCAGATCAGCTGCCATAAAGTTGAATGTCTGAAACAAAGAGATCTCTTAAGAATAATTTCTTGCATTTAACCCATATAATACTTTTTCTACCTACTTGTTTTTTAACGCATGGGTCACATTCTGACCAAGGGCCAAAGTCTCCAAGCAGACAGTTGATAGGACACGTTTGCTGGTTACACACACGAGATTCCTGCTTTGTGCACAGCTGGTCACAGAAGTTTTGGCTATAATATTCATCCATTCTTATTTGCCTAAAAGATTTTAACAAGTTATGCTAGGAAGGGATCATATTCAGATCGTAGATGTTCTCTAACTGTGGGTGAAGGCTGCTAAAGAAAATTATTTAAGCCCAATGAAAAAAGCTTGAGAGATAATAGGTAGTTGCAGAATGTTGATTAAAAGAAAATTCCAAATATGCCTTAAGTTTACAGAGCAATTATTTTGATTCATGTTACTTCAAATGTCCCAGAGAACAGATAACGCAAAGATCCAGGAGGAAAAGAGGGGATTTCTCAGAAGTTTAGAGCATACCACTGAATGGCATCTAATTTGGTGCTGCTGAATCTTTATTTGACTTTAACTGTCATCATAAAATTACTCTTAGAGGGAGGGACTCTCTGTAGGCTTGCTGTGCTGGAGCTGACCCCTCCCACAGCATTGTTCTGCACTGGGCAGAGCTCCTGGACCGCCGAGTGCTGGCCCAATGTGGATGCTGCTGGCAAGGCCATCATAGGATCTGGCTGTTCTCACTGCATGTGTTGGCAGATACAGCGTTGTTTGGATGCTCCATAATGCTCTATATACATAATTTTGTAATTTTTCAGTCTTGTAATTAAAATATAATCTGTTCATCTGGTAAATACTTGGACATGACAATTTTTCTCAGTATACTGTGGAAGCTGGTGCTTCAGACACAGGTCCCCCTCCCTAGAGGTGGTATTTTCTCAGGGAGTAAATAGAAACATAGAAGTAGTGAGACAGTTTGGTCCTACCTGTGCCTGGTCTGTGTGCCATAATTGCAGGTTTGTGAACAGGCAGACCACGACCCCCATGGGTAATGTTCACAGTAGCACCCTTGGCTGCTCCCAATCATCAGGCTCAACAGGATCAGGTGCATCAACATCGCCTTGTTTGTAGTGAAGATGCACATGGACAGGTAACAACAGGTCATGAAACTGTCCCTTACAGTTGTGCCTGTGTCCTTAGAGAGACATCTCTTCTGATTGCAGAATCTATAAATCTGCTTCACAATACAGAGTTCCTAAGCAGTGTACCTAGAAAAGGTCAATAATGCATGGTACACATTTATCAGGAATTTAGTTAATACTGTAAAGACCACAGGTCATAATGGCTTTCTCGGCCACTCATTTATCAGGAGTACTAATCATAACTGTGCATTATTTCTATTTAAGGAGATGTTTATAAATCATTTTGAACATGACAAATAAAGACCTGCTATTGCTCTTCATTGCCTAGAAGTATTCTCAAAAAGATTTTTTAGGAATAAGAATAAAAACATGAGACAGCTCTACCTATAAAACAACAAACAGAACCTTAAGAGTAAGCAGCCCCATCTCTTACTCTGTAAACAATTCATTTTCGGATGCCTATAAACCCCTTTTGAATAACCACTTTGCTGCAGTGAATGCTTCCTTCAGCTTTTTGTTGTTCTCAGTTTTGACTACCCTGTCTAAACCACAAACCATCACTATTCAAAACTCATCCAAATTTTCTATCGACAGCAGAAGACAGAATAGCTAGACCATTTCTCAGTCTAATGGTCAATCAAACTTCATTAGATGAAGGTTATAGGCAGTCTTTAGGAAGTAATAAAGCTTAGTGAACTTGAAAAATGTCTTCCAGACAAATAATTTATTTGTTGAAAAATGCAAAAGATTTTTTCTGCTCATAATGAGATTGAATCAACACTAAATTTGATAGGCTATTGTAGTAGAACATTTTAGAACACTGTTTTTTTGGTTTGCCTCAAAAAACCCAAACCCCAATAGGAAGGTTTAAAAGCAAAGTATTTATTTTAAAACAATACTCCAAAAGTTTTTATTTTTAAAAATTTGAAATGAAATGTGCAATTGTTCTCTATTTTAGGCTTTTAGCGACATATGCTATTATGATTTTTATACCTTGCTGAGAAAAATGAAATTGCAGCGAGTCAAAACATTGCTTCCTCCTTTAGTAAAGAAAGGCAATAGATCTTCACACAACCGTCACAGTGAGAATTCAGGGCACTTTTTACACCATAATTCATCAATGAACAAGCCTTTCAGAGAGATTTAAGTATAATCAAACCTAAAATATGGTAAAACTGAAGAGAGATCAGCAGTGTTGCCAACGAACCAAGAAGAGAAGAGGTATTTCATGTATTTCCTTACCTGAGTTCCTGGCTCTTTGCACCAACAGTGCTGGCTTAGAAAAGAGATGAAGCCTTACAGAACAATTACATTGTCCATTCCTTCATTGCACTGCACATAGAAAAACACTGTTTATTTTTGCCTATGAGCAAAACTTCAACCAATCAACACATCAGAAGCATATCAATAGCCATATAATTGTAAGTACAACAGATTAATTCAACATTTTAAAGGAAAAAACCCCACAAAACAAACAACAAAATACCACAAAACACTTCCCCATATGTTTTGTAACCTGTGTGCATTGAATCCAACAAAAATCCTTCCTTATTAACTTACTGCAAGACTGTTAGCTGCTAAGTCAGTTAACTTTGCAAACTGGTGTGACCTTGGTGTGATTTGCTGCAGCCTTTTAAATGAAAGGTTGGAGGGTTTGTTTGATTTGGTTATCCATTAATCAAAGCAGATCTGGTCTGATGGCAGGAATGGTCAGAACAAAATGGCCTCTCCACCAACACCCCCAGAGAGACATGTTCTAGAGAACTGCAGAGGAACAGCTCTTCCTACTAATGCAGCTGCCCAACATGAGCCAAGAGGAATAAAAATACCTTTGCATTCATCCATAGAAGCTCAACGCGCTACAGGTGTCCTTGTGCTGCCCGATAGAGCTGCACAACCTCTCCGCTCTCGGTTTGAAGGCAAGAGACGAAGAATTCGGTAAAATGACACATGCTCATAATTCATTATTGCTTTCGTTAGGAAACAGTAGAGAGAGACCAGGCCAAGGTAAAATACCTGTCTGCTGCTGCACCCTCTCTGTAAAAATGGGGCTCCCAGAGAAAACAAGAATCGAAATACATTTGAGGCTCTTTACAGCTCTTTGCCTTTCTGCCCTCTGTGGTGAGCTCTGGGCACACAGTGACCCTGGGGAAGGGCAGCCAGCAGACAGGAGCTGCTGAGAGCCCCCCAGGACAGAGGTGCCAGGGCAGGAATTAAAGCAGAAAGTGAGAGAATACAGCCATGCAGAACAGAAACAGCAATGAGAAGCACAAAGCAAGTAGTTTTCCCTTAAAAAAAAAAATAAAATCAAAGTCTCGAACAAAACCCAAAACCTCCCAAATACCCAGCAAGCATCCCACCCTGAGGGCAATGCTGCGCTGAATCTCCTTTCACTCCAGTAGACTGGCAGGAACATGTCAAGATGACAGAGTCCTCAAAACATATTTCCAAATTTGTTGGGACTCAACGGCATATATATCTTTGAAAAAGAAAACAATTCAGAGCTTCCTGCGTAGCTTCATTTTCCAGTTGCCTTTTTTTTTCTTTTTTTTTTAAATCATTATTATTATTATTTTGGCCAAGGAATTGTTGTTACACAACTTGGGGACACAATTAGCAAACTAATGTTCTGCCAGATCCTTATTACATTGTGTAAACTTGTCATAAGAAATCAAAATAGTCATCACTCTGGCTCTGTGGTTGCTGTTGGGTGGGATTTGTAAAGCTATGTGAAAAATATTGGCTTCTGCCTTTCAGAGAGCATCTCCTAACCCTCAGCACTTCCAGCTCACTGAGGGCAGCCTCTCCAGCCCCAGTGGGACCCCAAACAGGAGATGCCTGACTTCTCCCAGGCTTAAAGAAACAAACCACAACGGTGAGCAGCAAGTCAGTGTTTACAGCAGTATAATGCAGATAGCAAAAAGTTTCTAGCTGAGGAACTACTTTTACATTTTCTCTTAACAGGAAAACAAGGATTTACTAAAAAAGCTTATAAATTTTAAGATGATTACAAGGAAAGGGTGCTTCCCGCAGTCCACAAGTAGTCTGTGCTGTTCATAATCAGAGAATAAGCTGGCAGACAAGCACCACAGTTCACATTAACAGAAATGTTCGGTGGAGCCTGGCAGTGGTAGACTTCATACAGAAGTCAGGGCCTGAAGACAGGTTGAGTACTGAACCCTTAGATTCATATGAACTTAGCTCAGTTGCCTGAAGCTGATGGGCCACAGCAGCAGAGAGCAGTGCTCAGGCTGTCTCACATTTTGGTAGAGCTGCATGCAACTGCTGCTGTGCCCTGGGAGGCTGTCAACTCATCTGCAAGCAAGTGATCAGAGGAATGAAGGGTCTGGACTGGGACAACAAGGCGGGCACTCACAGAACCAAAGTGACTAGAGAAAGGGGCTTTTCCCACATTTGGCAACTTACCTCATGACGCTGCAGGACCGTCATATATATCTCCATCTATATTCCTCAGTTCCTCACAGGCTTTGTCGATAAGATACCCTCAGAGCAATCTCACTCTTCCTCTGCCCTGGCTGGAGATGAGCACTTGCATATGTGCATCCTTCCTTTATGTCATGTTAAGGCATGAGAATAGCAGGCAGTACCCTAGTGCTGACACTCAACCTCGTGGTCACTTTTTGTCCTCACAGTCAGCTACTCACAATGTTTCCTCACAACCTTTTAAAAGTACGACAAATCAAATAAGTCTGCTCAGAGAAGCAAACACTTAGGAATTTAGTCAGCAACATGGCAAGTGATGGCTTCTGTGAACAAGGGTGCCTTCTAGGACTGATTTTCACATTGGAAAAGCAGGAGCACCAAAAGATGCTCTTCCTCTGGACTGCAGTCCTGCAGGCTTTCACACCCATATGATGCCATGCCTTACCAGGTGTCTGGCTCAAGCTCTGGTGCAGTGTTCCCCAAAGACCAAGACACTATCACTGGAATCACACCGGGAGCAACTCAGAGAGATCAGTGTATAGACACATGCCATTTTACAAGACTCAGGCTTTGGGAGTATCTGTGCACATATCCATGGCCTGAATTTCATTATTTCTACAAGAAATCTTTCTCCAGAAAAACAGACATAACGTCCCTTCATCTCTGCTGCAATGCATTTATGAAAGATCATTTTTCAAAGAATGGGGAAATGTTATCTCAAAGGGAGCAGAGAAATCCAATGAGTATTCTGCCTGAGATTGTAGTGTTTCTGTCTGGACTTCACAAGGTCACGTCTCATCTATTTCATCCTATATCTAATTCCTCCTACTCAGAAAAAACATATTATCCTCCCAAGTCAACCTCTAACCCCTGTCTGAAAGCAGTCTGTCCTGTCTTCTGACCCCAGAGCTCTGCTCAAGGGAGAAACTCTACAACTGTCAATGAGAAAGAGCAGAAGGAGGGGGGCAAACATCTGGGAGGCAAGCAAAACAGAAGTAAAACAGCTTTTCAATTTAAGTTACATCCCCTGGTCCTTTCCACATGCCCTAGGTGCAGAGACAGGAAAAAACATTTGTCCTGTCACCTAAAATTCACAACTGTGGGCTGTTACCACCTAGCTCCAGTTCTTTGGATGTTGAATAGCAAGAGCTTACTGAACGACAGCCCTCATGTCACACAGATCTTGAAAATGTGGCTTCAGCTGCCCGCTCTCTGAAAAAGTCTGGAGTTTTAAGAGCATAAACTGATACTATTTACTAGACACTTTTTCCCCCCCAAAAAAAATCCCGAAAACAAAGTACAAGAGAAATCTTTCATCCCTACGTAGCAGATTAAAACTTACTATCAGGCTGGACTGTGAGGAAAATGGACTTTGCACTTAATTCAATAATTCAGTGAGGAATTTTTCATCCTCTTTAAACTTTTATCACGCTGTGTGCCCCCCATGAGAAGGGATAATGAAACAGAAAAATGAAGGCACCTTTAAGCACGAAAAGCCATCCGAATGGCTTCAATACTGAGCTGTTTTGACATATCCTCTGGCAATAAGGAAAGTGAACCATAAAATATCTTATTTACCCTGTCTGTCACCGGGCTGTCTGATGACAGGGGAGGCACTGCCCCCAGCATGGCAGGGCGGTGTTGGGCAGCCTTGCCTGCAGCCAGGTGCCTGTCACTTGTCTTCTGCTTCACCAGGAAACCTGCGCCGCGTCTGAAGGAGGCGTGGGACCAAAGTGGAGAGGGAAAGGTTCTGAGAAGAGGGATTGTATCAGCACAGAGGATGCTGCAAAACGGCAGCACCTGTAGAGAACAACAATTTCTCCTCAAAAGTTGTGTTAGTGGATTCAAATTTTAGGCTGCAGGATTTGCAAGCGCTGAGTTGCAGCTGCCCTCTCAGGCTGCTCTGTCAAACGAAGAGCCAGGCATCCCCTCTTTTATATAGAATTTGCTTCTCCTTTAATTAACAAGATAAAAGTATTTGGTGCATCAGTAGCAGCCCAGGACTCAGGACTTCACTGTGGCACCAACGTCACTCCAAGGCATCCTATGGTAATGGGTGGGCTGGAGCCAAGGAGGGAAACTCCAGTGCAGCACCTTCTTTCCATTTCCATGCTTTCAAGGCTACTGTTTTCTCACTTCATCCCACAGATCACCTGGAAATTAAGTTAAGACTTTTCACTTTTGGAGGCTACATTGGATTTAATCCCCATTAATACCCAGCCACTGCTCTGACAGACTGAAGCACGACCATGGGGTTACCCAAGTGCAACTACAGCAGAGGCACATTCCCTCAGAGCAGCAAAAGCATGCCTTCTGCCAGGGGATGAAATGCTTGAAAGTGGGTTTTATCTACCACACGGTAGAAAAACAAAACCCTGGGAAAAATAAATCCCAGTCTCCATGGTTGTAAGGCACCTTACGAGCAGAGGAGAGGATAAGGAGCCAACCCTATTGCATACAGGCATACAGGCATCCTCCTCACCTCCTCACGAGGGGTGGATGGAAAGTCAACCATCCTTTGCACAATACCCTGCTCACCAAACCAGCCAACAAGGAAGGAGAAAGCAGCATCTAGAAGAGACAGTCTGAGATGGTCTGTCCCGGAAGAGAGTCCTGCACCCTCCAGGGAATGAGCCCCAGGATCCCTCATGCAGCACAGCAGGGGACCTGCAGTAGCCACCTCTGCAAGGCTGATGGGGAAGGAAGCGGGGCAGAAAGCTAGTAATTTGGGTACACGGCTGGAAGAAGGATGCATGAGCCAGGATGCTTGACCCACACCTTGTATTAGCCCTGGCGAACAGGACTGTACCTTATAACATTTTTCAGAATAAATAAAAGCTATCATTAAGTAGGTACTATTCAAGCTGCTTGTATGTTGAGGAATTTGCCTCTAAAGCATGCCTGCGATATGAAACAAGTGATTAACTGTTTTGTTTCTTGGTTAACACTTCACAAGTACTAATGAGATTGCATCATTAGTAACGAGTAAAACATACTCTGATCATTATTTTTGTAAAAGATCAGTTTAAATGTTTGTCAAATTGATGGAAATTGCCTTTTTCACAATTTTCATAGAAAATACCTCCTTGACCTTATCTTTTTTTAAATGTGGAAGCTTACATTTATGATGACTGACATTTTTAAAAGGGAAGGTTT